CGCAATAAAGTTTTTATCATTAATTCTATTTTTCTTCAACACATTGGCTTAGAGACATAGAACACTTTTATTAAATAATGTTTCTTGGAAGAAATATATACATTCGCATGTTTAATTTGTTTGTTTTACAGTTGATTACAAAAAAAGTGTCGTTTAGAGGAAGTTAATCAGCTCTTTAAAAGTTGACCGGCTCAATAGTTGGTATATAACTGTGTGTAGTCGTGGAAGCAAATCAATTCATCAGTTCTTAAAAAAGAATTATTATAATCATCAAGAAGGAGTATTTATTGATTTTCTGCATAAATAGATATTGCAACAAATGTTTTCTTAAAGCTTTTTTACAAAAACGGAAACAAGAAAAGCTAAATTTTAAGTCCACAGTAAAGCTTACGACAATCACAGTGTACACTTCTAGGTTTAACCTAACATTTATTTGATGATGATTGCAGACTTTTAAAATTTTCAGATTTAATTCTTTTTATGAGTTTTGCAACTGTTTAACAGGGTCGTGACATGTGTGACAAGGATAACGAAAAAAGATTATTTTAAAAACTTCAATATTAATTTCCTCGAAAATAGAGAAATTCATAGATTTAAAGCTTTAGGCTTAACAATGTCTCTGGATTTAATATATTAGCTAACTAAAGTTTTATGCATAAAATGTATTAACTCACTGCTAATTTAACTTTCTTATGGAGGCCGAATTTAAAGACTTTGAGTCTGGGCTTAAATTTGAGTCGCGGCTCAAATATGGTTGGTTCCACTTAAAATTGTATTCAAGGTTTCAAGATTCAAGCCGGCCCTCAAATAAAACCGGTTTTTGGTGGATTTGAGACGCGACTCAAGTTCATTAAATTCGGACTCAGAGGTGTCGGACGTCAGTTTATAAGTACTAACTTGGAAATCAAGCTTTGCAATAATAACCACATCTCAACCTACTCAACTTTGAACTTAACATTTAAACTAAGTTTAAAAACATGCCTGTGGGTTTACCGAGTTCACACTTAAATATTTGAGGCAAATCGGTCAAGGGAGTTGTTAATAGGGCTGGGGACCTTTCAAGATTACATACTTTATATATATATATATAGATGCTTTGCTTGTGTCCGTGTACCTGAAACCAATAAAAGTCCAATCGGCTGTATTAATCTGGCCCACATTTTTTTGCAGCAAGTAACATGACCCAATGGAAGGCATTTTAACGACTGAAATAAAAAAAATGTGGCCTGAAAAAAACGACACCTTTTATGATTTAAAAAAATGCACCAATTTTAACAGAAAATCCGCGAGTTTTTTTGCAGGGTCCAATTTGAGTTAAAAGCTAAATTTTTTTTCTAGAAAAGGGGTTCTAAGTAAATACATACATGAATATTGTGTTGTATATACCAAGTTTGCGTCTCTATAAACTGAATTTAAACTAATCCCCAGGATAAAACCTTTCTTCTGAAAGGATTTAAAGAATTCAAAGGATTAGCATTTTTAGCGTTACAAGTTTGAAACCAAGTTAAGGGTGGATTCAGTCTACCTAAACCAAGTTAAGCGTGGATTCAGCCTACCTAAACCAAGTTAAGGGTGGATTCAGCCTGCATAAGCCAAGTTAAGGGTGGATTCAGCCTACCTAAACCAAGTTAAGAGTGGATTCAGCCTACCTAAACCAAGTTAAGGGTGGATTCAGCCTACCTAAACAATGTTAAGGGTGGATTCAGCCTACCTATACCAAGTTAAGGGTGGATTCAGCCTACCTAAACCAAGTTAAGGGTGGATTCAGCCTACATAAACCAAGTTAAGGGTGGATTCAGCCTTCCTAAGCCAAGTTAAGGGTGGAATCAGCCTACTTAAACCAAGTTAAGAGTGGATTCAGCCTACCCAAAATTAAGTTAAGGGTGGATTCAGCCAACCTAACCAAGTTAAGAGTGGATTCAGCCTACTTAAACCAAGTAAAGGATGGATTCAGCCTACCTGAACACAAATTTTTAAATTTTGATCATTCATAAAGCTTGCCTGGGGTCACGTGAGGTCCCACACAAAATTTGTGCCTGATCGGTTCAGCCGTTTTGACGTTTACTGGATGCAAACAAACAATCAGAAAGACAAGCTAAATTTATGTATAGATAAAATCCAAAAACTGAATAAACAATCTTATTCGAACTTTAGTTGGTTAGGTACCACCATGTTCTATTCACATGAATGAGATATCCAACATTTTCTGACAGAAAAAGGAATTGTGGTTTCTCTGTTAATTATGAATCCGACATTCAACTCTAAAGATGTCATACCTTGATAGTAATCATAATTTATAATTTACATTTCTGTTAGAATTTGGCGTTTACTTTTTCCTGTGTAGTTTTAAGAAAATGCACCGTGGACAATTTTCCTACTTTTTAATGTTTTCTTACAACGCAAAACCAAAAACAAAATTTAAGATACGGGGTCTCGAACTAATAGTTGAGAAATAAAATGGATTATTTCTTAATATTGTTATGCCGGTGACTTGAAATCTCTTCTGTATTCTGCGTGAACTGGTTTGCTACCGATTTAAATTAAACTTGAGCTTAGCGTGAGCTGTTTAAAATAAGCTTGAGTTCACCGAATACTTATTTACAAGGTTAAGAATTAAACTTGAGTTTAGTGTGAATTAATTTGCTAGGTTTTAAATAAACTTGAGTTTAGCGTGAATTAGTTTGCTAGGTTTAAATGAGTTGAGAAGACTAATTATTCTCCAGGTTGTTCTTGAAGTAGAAAGAATGCAAAGAATTTACTGTAATCATTCCAGAGAGAGCAAATTCACATTAGGTAAATGGACCAAGAAGTTTGCAGCACATAGATCCAGACTGCTATAAAAGACTATCAACTTCTAAGACTGGGTCTACTTTTAAGTGTCGCAAGTCGCAACGAATTTGTTTTTGATTTTTACATTCTAAAATTGCTTCATAAGATCAAAAACTCGTTCTTCAAAAATCTGGAGTCTGGATAGTTCTGGATAGTTCTGGATAGTTTTGAAGGGTTTCTTAATCATTAAATAACCAGGACACAAAACTTAACATAATTTTTCTATACATAAACTAATTTGCTGTTTTGGAACATATTTAGGTAGAATTGATTATTTCTTTATTATTATTAATGTTGAATTCTTCAAGTTTTTCACAGAAGTCTATTTTATTTTCCTCAAATGCCGTCTTTGCAATGAAATTCAAGGCCATCAATGAAACACGTTTTGTCAAAGAATAGAATATTTGCAACTCCGTATCTCTTCAATTTAATAAAAGATTTTGGTGAAATTGGGATATTTTTGAGTGTTAAAATGGACATAGTGTGTGGTTTACAGTAGTATGCTTTGTCAACTGGTAAAACAATCCTGTTTTGTGGGAGCCACTGTAAATATATTGTACTAGGTTTATAGGGCGCCTAGCGCTCATCTTCTTTTTAAATTGTGAACATTTTCTTTTGTATCTATATGTAAATTATAAGCAAACAAAAATGTTAGCGGATTTTTATTAAAATCGTATGTTTTCAAAATTTAAAGAAAATTATATTTTGTTGGGGACTAATCTGTGAAATTTGGCCCGATCGGTATAGCCTTTTTTAACATTAATTGGAATACAAACAAACAAACACCCAAACAGACAAGCAAAGTATATATATAGATTGTAGAAAAGAGATATGTTCAATTTGACAGTTTGTTGAATTAATCCAAGAAACAAAAACGTTTCTAGAAAAGTATTTCTAAAAGGATGAACAACTTGATAACATTTTAATGTGTTTTGTTAAAGTTTAAACTCTCATTTGTTGGGAAAAGTTTCTCGCTTAGTAGATCCATGAAAACGGAGATGGCAAATAAATGTGTTAAAACTTTCAACACAAATTTCATATTTGAAAACTTAGAGAAAAGAAAAGATAGAGCTGTGACATCGGAGCCACACTTTTCTCATTTCTCGTCCTAGCCACATATTTATTATTTCTCGTCTGAGCCACACTTTCGTCCTAGTCACATATTTATTATTTCTCGTCGGAGCCACCTTTTTCTCACTTTCGTCCTAGCCACATATCTATTTTTTCTCGTCGGAGCCACACTTTTCTCACTTCTCGTCCTACCCACATATCTATTATTTCTCGTCGGAGCCACATTTTTCTCACTTTCGTCCTAGCCACATATCTATTATTTCTCGTCGGAGCCACACTTTTCTCACTTCTCGTCCTACCCACATATCTATTATTTCTCGTCGGAGCCACATTTTTCTCACTTTTGTCCTAGCCACATATCTATTATTTCTCGTCGAAGCCACATTTTTCTCACTTTCGTCCGACCCACATATCTATTATTTCTCGTGGGAGCCACACTTTTCTCACTTTTGTCCTAGCCACATATTTATTATTTCTCGTCGGAGCCACATTTTTCTCACTTTCGTCCTAGCCACATATCTATTATTTCTCGTCGGAGCCACATTTTTCTCACTTTCGTCCTAGCCACATATCTGTTATTTCTCGTCGGAGCCACATTTTCTCACTTTCGTCCTAGCCACATATCTATTATTTCTCGTCGGAGCCACACCTTTCTCATTTCTCGTCCTAGCCACATATTTATTATTTCTCGTCGGAGCCACACTTTTCTCATTTCTCGTCCTAGCCACATATTTATTATTTCTGGTCTGAGCCACATTTTTCTCATTTCTCGTCCTAGCTACATATATATTATTTCTCGTCGGAGCCACATTTTTCTCACTTCTCGTCCTAGCCACATATTTATTATTTCTCGTCTGAGCCACATTTTTCTCACCTCTCTGGTCCGAACTAGCTTTCGGTAGAGTAACCATTCGATTTTCAGGATCAGATCTTTCATCTGCTAAATTCACTAAACTTTTGTGTTGATACTTGATATAGGAACTCAAACTTGATAACACGTTAAAATTAGTGATTTTTCTAATAGAACTGAACATGTATTCTTTGATAGTTAATGTTGTATAACTTGGATATTTCAAACTTAGGATTTTGTTAAACAAAAATTCTGGTTGTTGATCTAGTTTATTTAAGTAGGTTTTAATACAAGTGTTAAACTAGATTATGGCTACACTTTAGAAATATCATAACAATTATGATGCATAAAAATACTATATGCTTTAAAGGAACAGTCTTTTTATAAGATTTAAATGATCTCATCATATTTTACATCGCAATCAATGTTTTTCTTCAATTTTTGATTTTGTACATAAAAAAGGAAGAAAATCGATATTTTCTTATTTTTTATTCTAAATTATCAAATTTTCTTTAAATAAATAAATATTTAATACTTTGTTTCTGAAAGACACATTTTTTACAGGTTAACAAACGGTGCATAAGATTTTCACATACAGATGTGTGATCTGGTCAAATAATCTGATCACATGATCTGGTCACATGATCTGGTCTAGATATCTGGTCACATGATCTGATCACATGATCTGGTCACAGGATCTGGTCACATGATCTGATCACATGATCTGGTCACATGATCTGATCACATGATCTGGTCACATAATCTGGTCACATGATCTGATCACATGATCTGGTCTAGATATTTGGTAATATAGTCTCCCAGAAGCGCATTCTTTTCTCCCAGTTTGCGGATTTTCTCATTCTCAAGTTTTGCGATATTTCTAGAAACTCCGGCACTTCAGGTAGCTCAGGTTCGAGCCGTAGGTTTCGGTCAACCTGGAAAATAACACATTATTTAATGAAAAAAATGCTATAGAAATAAAAAACGGTCATATTTGTATGTTGTCTATAGAATAAAATATTAATTTTGCAAAGGAGTTTTTGCCATATAATCAAATTTTCTAATCTCTACATCATTTCAACATTTTGGTGTAAATCGTTGATATTAGATTATTTGATATAAGAGAATTCAAAGTATTTAAGTATCTAAGATCTGCGAAGATATATGGAATAGAAAATCAGAGTTTGTGGCAAATACAGTAAACTATAAAATGAATATATTTTATTGATACTTATACACAGGGTTAACAATAGTTTACTTAACTTTAATTACGACGCAAAAATTTTTACATATAAGATTTAACGGTTAAATTATGTGCATTTTTGTTAATACATTTATTAAATAGATAGCAATAGCATTTAAGGGATTTTCTATATGATTTGTCAAAGAAAGAAACAAGGTTTATTTTCTAAGAATTTTTACGAATTCAACGTTTCTTTGCCAACTGTAGCTCACATTAGTGATTTGATTTTTACACAAAAAAATTAAAAATCTGAATTAGTTTTAAAATCATGAAATAGTATCACAAAACCTTAGAACTGGTGCAGAGCTGGGTCGGAGAATTTTTATCAAAAAAGTGTCCCATAGTTTTACTCCTTACTTTCAAGCATGATTCTTGGAGAATAATACAACTAAGTTGAAGTTGGCTCGGTGCACGAACAAATGTTTTAGATGAAAATTTGATATTTCTTAGAGTGTATGCATCAGTAATACCTGTGCCGACTAATGCTAAGAAGGAAACAAACTTTCTTTTGATAAGAGAATACAAACTTTAAAAAAACATAAAATGTTTACCTTTAAGAAATCTTCAATGTCTAGAGTTGATATTCTTAGAATTTTATCTAATTCGGCCTGAACAAATATTTTTAATATCTAATTTTTTGCAAAAAGTTATATTTGTTATAAATATATTTATTTTTACCTTTTTGGCCAAGTTTGTCCAATTAAAATCTGTATTTAATATAGATTTTGGTTTAGTTTTCTCCTCCTCCTCCTCCCCCTTCCCCTGGAGAGATGTCCTGGGCGACCTGTATACTGGATGGACACTAGCGTGGTAGGGTTTATTAACTCTAGGATTCCGGGGTGTTCCAGTTTTTACAAAATTAGACCATATTGTTGTCAACTGCCGGGATAATTCTAATAAATAAAAAAATTATGAGTAAAAACTTGTTCCAGAAATGTGTGCATACTGCTAAATGAGGCCGAATTTAAAGAATTTGAGCCTTGGCTTAAATACATTTTGGTCTCAAGATTTAAGCCGGCGCTCAATTAAAACCGGTTTTTGTCGAATTTGAGACTTGGCTCAAATTCATTAGATTCTGATTTTGATAATAGCTTTATCAGAACCATTCATTGGAACTAATTACTCGCCTCAAGTCTTTTTTAAAAATGCTTTTATCTTTGTGACCTAATGAATTAATTCTTTAAAATTTCAAACTCTAAATTTTACTAGATCTATCAGCCAAAGTTTCAATGATCAATGGTTTACACCACTAGGTTGAAAATTATTGAGATAAGGAGATAAGAACTCAGTGCCTAAGGAAAAAATAATCGAAAAAAAGCTTGAAAAAGAATTCCCCCCCCCCCTATCTGACGACAACCTCCATTATGGGACACCCACCCCCCCAGGCAATTGTACTTTGCCAATTTGTAAAGTATGATGGAGAAGGCTAGTCACCAGGATTCATAAACCCAGATTTTCAAAATAAAAAGTTTTATTTGAGAATTCTATCTGTAATAAACATTTCAGGGATTGCATGAATTCCTGGATCCCTAGGGATTCTACAGGGTATGAAGGGATTCAGAAAGCAGAAAGTGATGTATGTAACAAAGTCTTCAATTTAAAGAATTTATCAAGGTGCGATTTCAAGCATGTCATGTCCGAATCTAGATTTCAAGCATGTCATGTCCAAATCTAGATTTCAAGCATGTCATGTCCGAATCTAGATTTCAAGCATGTCCGAATCTAGATTTTAAGCATGCCATGTCCGAATCTAGATTTCAAGCATGTCATGTCCGAATCTAGATTTCAAGCATGTCATGTCTGAATCTAGATTTCAAGCATGTCATTTCTGAATCTAGATTTAAAGCATGTCATGTCTGAATCTAGATTTGAAGCATGTCATGTCTGAATCTAGAATTCAAGCATGTCATTTCCGGATCTAGATTTCAAGCATGTCATGGTCAAATCTAGATTTCAAGCATGTCATGTCCGAATCACAATATGGTCCCTTTAAATATCTATCTGAGCAATAGTCAGCGAGTTTTCTCCGTTTTTCTATCTTGTGAAATTCTAATAAAATTTTAACTTGTAAGAATTAATTGATTTTCAGCTAGAAAAATTCTTATTCATCCAAGGACATGCCACTCTATAAATGGCGAGTCACTTGATCGAATTTTTATGCGAAGTCAATTTAAGAGTTTGAATAAAGATCCTTAAAATTCATTTACATTTTTTTCTTCAATACTGTAAATTTTAATTTACATATTTAGATTCTAACAAAGAAACCGTTTTATTCTTGTGAACGTTTTGACCAAAAAACGAGGATTTGTAAAAATAACGTAAACAATCCCATTCAGTTCCAATTGCATTGTCTAAACCTAAACCACACATCTTAACAGAGAGATGCATTTTCCATTTTTTTAAAATTCTAAAACTACAATTCTAAAATCCTTTATTTTCTCACCAAGCAGTTTAAGTTTTCGTTAAATAACTCATTTGTAAACATTACAAAGGCGGATCTAAGCTTGGAAGATTAAACTTGTACTTTGTGAATTTACCTAATTCCTGAGCCGACTTCAACCACAGTTTTCCTGCAGGTCAAAACAGACATTTATAAACAAGATATCAAGTTAAGTGAAAATAATTCTAAAAACTTTTGATTAATTTTCTAAATGAAAAATTTTTCTTTAAGGTGAAAGAAGTGCAACGTAGGAGAATAATTCTAGAAATAATGATGATTAAGTTAAAAATACTTTTTACAGAAAACATAAAACATCTAATCCACTAAAAAAAATAAGTTGAAACATAGAGTTTGTCAAACTTCTAAATTTTATTGGTTGCTAAAAAATTAATAAAAATATCTTTAAAACCCCAATGTTTGTCTCTGTTTTAACCAAAGTTGTTTTGAATTTTAAATTCAACATAATTTTGATAAAAGATAATTAGTTTTTTGTCTTTTTTTATGCAGTGGCAGAAAATCGAGGTTGCGTGAGTTTGGACACATATTTTTCTCTCCAGAAAGATGAGAAAAATCATTAGGATAATTTGAGACCTGTCTAATCGCTACTTTTTTGCATTTTGACTAATTTATCTTTTTATTTATATAAATGTCGTAAGTTCCTTTATGTGTTGCCCAAAACAAAGGAATTTCAGCGCTGTGTCCCGGGCCCATCTCTCCCTCATAGCTGTACACAAACTGATATGTGTTCCCTCTAAAATATATATTTTATTATTAACATTTCTCATTAGTGTTGCTAGTTAGTGCAAAGTACATTGTAATGTCTTTGCAGTGAATATTTTCTGTAAAAAGTGAAAATCAGAAAATACTTTTTCTTTCGCTTCAAATGCATAATTACTGGACTTGACGGCTAATTAATTAGGTTTAAGTGGAACTCCAGTATTTTGCACTCAATGTAAATCTTTACACTGAAGTTTTTTAATCCTTTAGGTGTGTTCAAGGGATGTTCAAAGGATTTATTCTAGAAGGGGGGGGGGGGGGGAACATAATAAATAATTAAGCTTTAAAAGGGCAAGATAAAAACTCTCGAGAGACACCAAGATTTTTTTTGGGAACCTAAACTTTTAATCGTAGACCTCTTTTAATTTGCTGACAGATTTTTAGTTAGGTTCGGAGACTCTTAGATATTCAGAGGTACGCCTTTAACTTCATCGGAGATTCCCAATTTTCAACAATTAGGCATCCAAGACTTCCATTGGAGATAATTCATTTCAAAAAAGGAATATTAGGGTCTTCAGTATTGGATGATAGTGGGAGTCTCAAAAGTAAAGGAGTCTCCGATAGAAAACTTAGGGGCCTCCGAAGAAAAATTGGGGTCTTTAATAAAAAACTTGGGGTTTACAAGGGCTTTGCCCCCTGTTGGGGGTTTCCGAAAAGAGGCGTTTTCTAAAGTACTACAATGATGATGATTTATTTCCAAATTTAAGATATTTAGTTAGGTTTAATCTTGTTATTGAATTTATAACATGTCATTATAGTTAAATGAGAAATCAATTCAGTTAAGGTTATACATGGTTACCCGCAAAGGATGAGACTGTAAAGACGACCTAAAACAGCCTTGAGTTTCTTTAAATGAATTAATAAATGATTTGACAAAGAAAACAGTGTGTATAATTTTAGGAAATCATATATATATATATAAGGAAATAGAATATGATAATTCTGTACAGTCGTCTCTGACGCCTCTTTCTTAGTGGAAACCCTGTACAGGCAGTGCTGTTTCCGTGAGTACATAAACTTACCTAGTATGTTTAAGGTGATGATGAAGAAAGTTATGTACTCCGTATGAAAAAAATGAATCTGTGTACATATCAGTAATATTGTCAAGTTTGTCAGGACCTGAAACACATGTACGGTATGATAAAAACAGTACAGTACAGTACAATTGGTGTATTTTCAATAATGTGCTTACTATACCGTTTGAACAATATTTTTTCCTTTTTTTGTAAAAATCGTACTTTTCACAATTTACTGAAGCACTATCTATAAATCTATGTAAAAAAAACTTTAATGCATGGCATCATTTTAATACTGGCAAGTTTATTTTACCTTTTTTTATACAAAAATATAAAATATTATTTGAAATAATACGGACCTATATCAGTCACATTCCCGACATAAAAGCTCAAAATTTCATTAGCTATCTACTCCAGATCACGGTCAAAACAAGGAAAAACGAAGGATAATGTTTGCAATTCCGGTTCAAAGAAAAAACCTAAGATTGGGAGGGGGGGGTGTTTTCTTGATATTTTTTGTCACAAACTAATTTTTTTAATCCTTATATCGGTGCAACCTGATGATGAAGACTTTTTTATATTTCAAAGTAGTAATTCTGTTAGGTCAAATAGTCTAAGTTTGAAATATATAAGGTTTCACCATCCGGTTTTAAAGATAAAGAAATTAGAAAATTTGAGTTTGTGACAAAACTCAATTCCTGTGGTTTTTAATACAAATTTATTTTTCTACAGTCAAGTTTTGCGTAATTACATTAAATTAATCTAAAAATACGAACATATCTTCTGGAATAATGATTAGATAAAGATTAAAATTACAGGGTGTGTTGTAAAACGGGCATAGCCTTTTTGTGAATGTAAAAATTCACTTTAAAATACAAAGCTCAGTCCTTGTAGGGGAACAAGACAAATGTTAGCTAAAACAATATTTAATATCAAATTTAATAAATGAAGTTATATTTGATAATCGTGTTCTTCCTCTTTATCTCTCTCTGTAATCTCAGAGTGGTGTCTTCCTGAAATAGAATTGACAAAATTAAAATCTTTTCCCAAAATGTTTTGCTAATGGTACCCTTTACACTAAAAAACAAGTTGTTTGTCGTGTTTTTATCCTTTTGTAAAATTCTTTAAAAATTCTTTACTTTTAAATATGTTTTTTTTTTCACCAGCATAAAAAATGTAACAACTTTTTATCTTTTATGTATGATCTTTGAAATCACTAAGTTTCAATTCCCTTCGTTAAAAAAAATCAGATATCTACAGGGTTACCCACAAAGAATGAGACTTCAGAGACGACTGTACGGAATTTGCTTAGTATTTTTTTTAAATCCTTGATTCCCTACAACTGTAAACTTTTTTTTTCACCTAGTAAAGAAAAAGGCCCCAAAACCGGCCAACTGGCCGCCATTGCAGTGTAAAGAAGAGGATAGTCTATCAAACAAAACAAAAATCACAAATTAAAAAAAAATTTATTTTTGAAATTTAAAAAAACGTTAGCTTTTCTGCACTGGACTTTCATGATTTTTGAATTTTCCTTTAAAGAGTGATGTCACCATGAGACCTTCTTGTCTGTTAAACCCAAGAAGAACATCAACGTCTCTGAAATAATATTGTTTAGTATGCATAGTAGGAATTGTCGGCATTTACATTCGAAACCCTTTTAGATAGCAATCCCCGATTTACTACGGTACCTTTGAAAGTACAGGTATAAATTAGATATCAATGTTTTTGTTTTTAAGTGTTAATTTTTATTGCGGTTTCCCTTTGAAAGTGACTTTTGCATTTCTTTTATAAATGCAGAAATGGATAAAGGAACTGAGTTTTTGTCACAAACTCTACTTTTCTAATCTCTATATCTTTGCTACCCAATGTAGTAGACCTTTGATATTTCAAGCTATGAATTCTGTTAGACCAAATTATCTAAGTTTGAAATATCAAAGGTTTGCATAATCAGATGTAAAGATATAGGGATTAGACAATTTGAGTTTGTGACAAAAACTCAGTTCCTTTACAGAACTAAACATTTTATGTCTCAGAAAAGATCAGATTAAGGGTTTCAACGATACTGCTGTTAATCGGGCATTGAAATCTTTGCATGAAGGGTCACTTGGAATTACGTTTACAGTCTCTTTAATTCCAAAATTACATAAATTAATTACTTTCCAAAATACGATTTTTTGGACAAAGGATAAGAGGACTCTGTATTTATGGTAATCTTTTAATAGAGAAGAATAAAGATTGAATCTCCTTTGTATGACCCCAGTACATAGGTATTAATATTTAGTAGTTATTCAGTTTTCAAAATGGCATTATCAAAATACAAATTTTATGGGTCCACACTCAGCTCAGCTCAGCACTTGATAAATCATAATAATCAATAATATAAAATCAGCCATATAATTAAATACTTTGTTAAAGCATAAAATATCATCCTAAATTTTATATATCAACTAAAAGTATTTTTAATTTCAATTGATATGATGACATTTTTGTTTTGTAATTTTTCTATTTATTTAAATGTTTACCATATGTTTTTTTTATCAAGTAAGAACATACAATGAGGAGACCTGCAAAACTATGAAATAGAAAAACTACTGTTAGACTTAAATTATAATTTCAAATAGTTTAATGAACATGAAAATGTTTATACATGTCACAAACCCATTTCACTTAATATAGGTTGATTTTCAACCTACTTGTAAAACTATTTGCTTTATGACAACATCAAAAAAAAATCATATTGATTAAATGTCGTCTTCCTATTCCACAGTTGTAGTAAGTCTATTGTTACCGGTCATATTTTCCAAGTTTAATTAGATCTTTAGGTTCAGCAGGAAGAAAGGGAGAGTCGGAGAAGTTTCCATCAACAACAGGTTGGGACAGAAACTCATTTCTAAATAGACATAAAATCTAAATATTGTTGTTGCACTCTTATCTGGCCGAAAATAAAAGGTTAATTTTAAGCGAAATTACAAAGACGACTTTGTGATCTCTTATCTTCTTTAGATTTGTTTTACACTCAAGTACGTGCAAAAATAAATCGTCGTTGATACATATACATGTTTCTGTATTGATACATGTATACATGTTTCTGTATTGATACATATACATGTTTCTGTATTGATACATAGACATGTTTCTGTATATATTGATACACATATACATGTTTCTGTATTGATACATAGACATGTTTCTGTATATATTGATACACATATACATGTTTCTGTATGAAAACATTTTATTGTTTATGTTAGTTTCCTTACAAATAAAAATAATGAACGTCATACTTTTTTGCATGTAAATATAATAAATTGTGAAGTGAAACAAGAGGCGGTTACCACAAAAAAGATTTAATTTTGACTAGAAATTCTGAAATTGAAGAGCTTAGTAATATGAAAAAGTATATAAAAAGACATTGACCTGACATCCATCGACATTATCTCAGAAACCGGTTTCTTCCTCAAACAGCTGAAATAACTTCTATGTTATTTAGAGATTTTAAAACTTACCCTGCCTGGGATTTACGTGAAAAATGAGAGAAGACTTGAAGGTTGTCATTAATTTATTAAAGAGTATGTGAGCATAACTTAATGCCCGATTCAAAACGGTACATTTGTATATTGGTACCGTTGCGCATAGGGTGTTGTCGGTTATCTTTACAAGAAGGGTCACTTATAATTACGCTGACAGTTCTATGAATTATAAAATTGTCTTTACATTCAATTTTTTTTGTAGGTTTTAAAGTTACAAGGGAGGTATAACGCAACTTAAAAAATATTACATTTTGTCAGCATATAGCTTGAAAAATATTACATATTGTCAGCACATAGCTTGAAAAAATTAAAGATGATCCTAAACCCGTCTCTCATCTGTCATGTTTTTTGGGGCACCCTGTACTATATTGTGGATGTTATGACAAGTCTGGTTAATTTACATATTTATGGATTTCTAAACTGCATCCACATGTCCATCATTTGAAGAGAAATTTACAAAATTTACAAACAGTAAACCTAATTATTCTTTCATAGATATTAGATATAAAAGTTATGTAAGTTATTTTTCATAAATATAAGTTCATAAAAGTCGACAAGTAAATGGTTTATAACTTTTATACACTGTATAATTCATAATAAAATAGAGATTTGAATATTTTAGCCTGAAAAAATTCGATATTAAAAAACCTTTGTAAATTAGTTTTTAAATCAATTTTGAAGGATTTATAGTAAGGTATACATTTTTCGGGTCTAATTTTTCATATTTAAATTTACAAAAAAGTTAAAGATCTCTATATAAACTGTTAATCACTTTTTTATTTGGTTTAATCGTCCCATAAATGAAAGCTAGAAATATCGGCAGACCAAAAATAAAAAATAAATATTTCTTTTAGGTTTCTTATGAAGGTTGTATAGTGTATACCTAAGTTGTGAATCTACATCAGTACACCCAATCAGAGCTGCTGACTTAGCTCCAAACCTAAAATTAGCAGTCTTTCAAATAATCAAGTAAACAATTATTAACATTAAACACATTATTGACTGTCTGTAAAACTACTTGACTGCAAATGTAAACCTACTTGACTGCATCTGTAAATCTACTTGACTGCCTGTAAACCCACTTGAATGCCTGTAAACCTACTTGACTGCATCTGTAAATATTCTTGACTGCCTGTAAACCTACTTAACTGCCTGTAAACCTACTTGACTGCCTGTAACCCTACTTGACTGCATCTGTAAGCCTAATTGACTGCCTGTAAACTTACTTGACTGAATCTGTAAGCCTAATTGACTGCCTGTAAACCTACTTGACTTCATCTGTAATCCTAATTGACTACCTGTAAACCTACTTGAATGCATCTGTAAGCCTAATTGAACGCCTGTAAACCTACTTGACTGCATCTGTAAGCCTACTTGACTGCCTGTAAACCCACTTGACTGCCTGTAAACCTAATTGACTGCATGTAAACCTACTTGACTGCATCTGTAAGCCTACTTGACTGCCTGTAAACCTACTCGAATGCATCCGTAAACCTACTTGACTGCCTGTAAACCTACTTGACTACATCTGTAAGCCTACTTGACTGCCTGTAAACCTACTTAACTGCATATGTAAACCTACTTGACTGCCTGTAAACCTACTTGAATGCATCTGTAAGCCTACTTAACTGCCTGTAAACCTACTTGACTGCCTGTAAACCTACTTGACTGCATCTGTAAGCCTATTTGACTGCCTGTAAACCTACATGAATGCCTGTAAACCTACTTGACTGCCTGTAAACCTATTTGACTGCGTGTAAACCTACTTGACTGCCTGTAAACCTACTTGACTGCATCTGTAAGCCTATTTGACTGCCTGTAAACCTACATGAATGCCTGTAAACCTACTTGACTGCCTGTAAACCTATTTGACTGCGTGTAAACCTACTTGACTGCCTGTACACCTACTTGACTGCCTGTAAACCTACTTGACTGCCTGTACACCTACTTGACTGCTTGTTCTGGTGAATATTGATGATAGCTTGGGGAAAACCCTCCAACTCCACTGTGCGCAATAATTCGCTTAAATAATCCTCTAAACAAAAAAACGTTAATTAAAAATTTTTTAAAGTTAATTTTTTTATTTTGTAAACTTTTAACAAATATTTTAATTGTTTTGGTAAAACTTGGTGTCACTTCTTTACCCAACGACTTCATAAAAATGATGATAACAATGTTTTTGTTTACAAAAATGAAGATAAAAACATGTCTCCCGATATATATCTGTAAAGAGATTATTATGAATAACCTCGAATTTAACAATACTGGTCTGAAGTCTAGACACAAATATTATTCAGATCTAGAAAACTACGTAGGAATGGTAGAATATTCCAGAACAGAACATAGAAAAACTATTTCAAGGATGAAATAAAGATCCAAATATTAAATGTGTAGTTGTTATATTTGATTAGTTGTTTAAATACCAATTACCAATTGCTTTCTATAGTAGAATATTTGATCACTATTTGATTCAACTTGTGATTCGCGAGGCAGAATCGACAACAAAGACGACATTGACTAAATCATCTGTGAAATATATGTTTTCTATGGGTCAAGAGATTGTTAAAAATGAAAAACACCATCTGTTACCAGCTTGTAAATAGGAACACATCTGTTACCAGCTTGTAAATAGGAACATATCTGTTACCAGCTTGTACATAGAAACATATCAAGAGTTCAGAAAATACTCTTACTTGCAAGTTCACAACCATTCGAGAAAAGCTAAAATTACAATTTCACCATGCGAACTTATTTTTCTGATCATTACTCAATTAAAACTTTAATAAAACATTCCTTATTTTTCAATATATATCATTTCAACTTGTGCATTACATTGTACAGCTTTATACCACTAGAGCTGTTACCTTGGTACACCCTGTACACTTGGAGAATACTGTAACTATAGTACACCCTTTGCACCTGGAGATTACTGTAACTGTAGTAAACTCTGTATACCTGGAGATTACTGTAACTATGGTACACCCTGTATACCCGGAGAAGACTGTAACTATGGTACACCCTGTGTACCTAAAGAGTATTTTAACTATAGTACACCCTGTATACCTAGAGATTATAACTGTAACTGTGGTACACCTTGCATACTTGGAGAGTACTGTAACCATGGTACACCCTGTATACCTGGAGAGTACTGAAATTTTGGTACACCCTATACTCCTTGGAGTACTGTGACTATGGTACACCCTGTATACCTGCAAGAATACCGTAACTATGGTCCATCCTGTATACCTGGAGAGTACTGTGACTATGGTACACCCTGTATACCTGCAAGAATACCGTAACTATGGTCCATCCTGTATACCTGGAGAGTACTGTAACCATGGTACACCCTGTATACCTGGGAGTACTGTGACTATGGTACACCCTTTATACCCTGCGAGTACTGTAACTATGGTACACCCTTTATACCCTGGGAGTACTGTAACTATGGTACACCCTGTATACCTTGAAAGTGGAGAAACTAAATGATATGTAGCTGAGAAGCTTCCAGCACTCTGACCCATCAATGTAACCTGACCCGGGTCTCCTCCATAGGATCTACGAAATATTTAAAATCAGTCAATCAGATATTTATCTATAAATCATATATCTGTTTATATTTAAAAGAAAAATAGAAAAGGTTAGTTTGTAATACTTGGTTTAGATTTTAAAAGAAGTAGTATTTTTAATTGTTAACTATGCTAGGATATTTAAAATATGTATTATTTATATTTTGGTAGCTTTTTTTTTTCTTTCAGATATACGTATTTTTTCCATTCATAACGTGTTGTATAATGTAGATACATAAGTAAATATTATTCTTAAATTCTGTTTTTATAATTGGATTAAATTATGTCTTAATTTTCTCTTAGAAAACAATAGAAATTATTATGAGATAATATAGGTCAAATATTTCCATAATATCTTTATTATAAGAAAATAATAGAATCCATTTTCCACTAAACAAGAAAATTATTTTCTGATGAAAAAATATTACGTTTTTCTAGACAAAAAATATCCAGCCAACAAATAAAAATTAGTCGTAAAATATTTCACGGATTGAGTCTCATTTTTCTATCTCAATTTTGAGACAAATAGTTACCAAATTTTAATGGCAACCTTAGTCTTGTTCTAAAAGTGTGGGGGAGGGGGCATTGCACAAGTGCCCACCCTTTTCTGTCTAAATGGGGGGGGGGATTAGTACTATTATTCCCCTGTATAGAATAACTGAATGAAAGTAAAAATCCCCTTGAATATAATTTCTGGGCACTGTTGATGTAATTAGAGCTTTGTTTCTTTTGTTTCTTGTCTCGAGCATAAACATGGAGAATTGGCATGAGAGGAGAATTATAAAGTAAAAGATCTAGGTCAGTCTATAGACAAGGCAGTCTGGAAACAAAATGGTGTTTGCCAAACTAACTCTAATTCATGAATAACATGTTTGCACGAAAACTCCAGTGAAAACCAGAAAACAAGGGAATTCTCGTCGACATTATGATAGTTGGTTATTTACTAGTTATTCACTATTTACTCAGTTTGATAAAATATGCATAATTTTCACCAAAACAAAATACAAATCCTTGATGACATTTCTTGATTAAAGAAAAAAAGGCAACATTAATTCCATAGCTTTCGATTATTTCTCGGTAAAGGTGTAAAAAGGTATGGGCTATTTAAGATTATTTTCACAGACTGGACTTTTTTCCGCCATATATCCTATTCTTTATTTTTTTAGCAACAAATCCTTTAAATTACTATTCTTTAGAAGTCACAAAATTTCACGGTAATAGTGTCAAAAATGAGAGTGCTAGGACTCCCTAGCCTGTTTAGGGTTAAATTTGGTTCTCCCTGATATTACCTGATATTATCTTGAATCCATTTAAGAGCTTCCACCTGGTCCAGCATACCAGCATTACCAGGGATATCTTTACTACCCAAGGAAAGAAATCCTAAAGATATAAGTTAATCAAAATCATTTTTAATTTTGTAATTTTCTCCTAAATTTTCTAACACTGTGCAAACTTATAATACTGGTTTATACTGGTTTACACTTGTTTACACTTTACACCACCAATATCACTGGTTTACACTTTACATCACCAATATTACTGGTTTACACTTTACATCACCAATATCACTGGTTTACACTTTACATCTCCAATATCACTGGTTTACACTTTACAACACAAATATTACTGGTTTACACTTTACATTTCCAATATCACTGGTTTACACTTTACACCACCAATATCACTGGTTTACACTTTACACCACCAATATCACTGGTTTACACTTTACATCACCAATATTACTGGTTTACACTTTACACCACCAATATCACTGGTTTACACTTTACATCTCCAATATCACTGGTTTACACTTTACAACACAAATATTACTGGTTTACACTTTACATCTCCAATATCACTGGTTTACACTTTACACCACAAATATCACTGGTTTACACTTTACATCTCCAATATCACTGGTTTACACTTTACATCACCAATATCACTGGTTTACATTTTACATCAACAATATCACTGGTTTACACTTTACATCACCAATATCACTGGTTTACACTTTACATCACCAATATCACTGGTTTACACTTTACATCTCCAATATCACTGGTTTACACTTTACATCACCAATATCACTGGTTTACACTTTACACCACCAATATTACTGTTTTACACTTTACATCTCCAATATCACTGGTTTACACTTTACATCACCAATATCACTGGTTTACACTTTACATCTCCAATATCACTGGTTTACACTTTACACTACCAATATTACTGGTTTACACTTTACATCACCAATATCACTGGTTTACACTTTACATCTCCAATATCACTGGTTTACACTTTACATCTCCAATATCACTGGTTTACACTTTACACCACAAATATCACTGGTTTACACTTTACACCACCAATATCACTGGTTTACACTTTACATCTCCAATATCACTGGTTTACACTATACACAACCAATATCACTGGTTTACACTTTACACCACCAATATCACTGGTTTACACTTTACATCACCAATATCACTGGTTTACACTTTACATCACCAAGTTGGAATACAATAAAAAATGTCTTCTAACTTCTTACATGCTTAAAAAGTATGAGCATGACAAATAATTTTCACTTTGTAGTTAGAGAGTCCAGTTTTTAGTTCAATTTTAAACTTAATGCAGGAGCAAATTACGAGATAGAAAAAATGGGAATAGAGCAATTGCCAATAGAGTAAATGGCATTAGAGCACATGGAAAAATAAAAAATGGCAATAGAGAAATGGCAAAAGTGAGAGCAAATTTCGTAGCAATAAAAGCGCAGGTATAGGTTTACCTAAGGGTCCAAGCCTGTAGTTGAAAGTAACGACAATAATATCATGAATCATCCAGAACTCTGGTCCGTACCAACACGCTGAACCAGATCCAAACATAAATGCTCCTCCGTGTATATAAACCAGAACAGGCCGAAGCTTTTCTAAAAATAAATTATATATATTAAACATTTTGATCGAAGTTTAATATTTTGTACAGAAATTAGATTTTGGAATGGAACACAAAAAAAATTGTGCTTTTTAATGGATACAGTTTAAAAAATGTTTAAACAAAAAATTGGACATTTTTAATAGCATTCAGGAAGCTTGAATAAGGCATTTTTTATTTTACAGTAAAATTCTTTTTTTCTTCTTATATTTTGATCAGAGATCGAAATTTTTTTGTTCATAGTATCGTTTTTCGCTAATCTTAAAACTTGATTTTGATATTCAATGTAGGCACCACGGGATATTTAAGAGGAATTAGATAAATCCGTAGGTCTGCAAAAGTTGGAGATCAATACTTGATCTTGAGATTAACATACACAAAAATTCTGATTTCAGTTTGAATTACAAAAATTATACCTTTCCATTTTTAAGGTGATTAATTTTCACAAAAATGATAAACAGATTTCTTTAAATATTAAATTGATGACGCATGGTTTGTGAATGTTTTTTTAATGTCAAGAAATTACAATTGGAACCATTACATTTAAACTGAAATACAACAAACTACAATAAAAACAGATTACTCTAAATCCTTAACAATTTATTTCTACCTCGGTTGATTCCATTAAATCCTTGTGGTTGTGGAACATAAACATTAAGATAAAGGCAGTCCTCGTCAGTTCCCGGCACCAACCCTTAACATCAATAGGGAGAACACTATTCAAAACATCACTAAAGGGAGAACACTATTCAAAACATCATTAAAGGGAGAACACTATTCAAATCATCATTATGGGGAGAACTCTATTCAAAACATCATTAAAGGGAGTCTATTCAAAACATCTTTAAAGGGAGAGCTCTATTCAAAACATCACTAAAGGGAGAACACTATTCAAAACATCATTAAAGGGAGAACACTATTCAAATCATCATTATGGGGAGAACTCTATTCAAAACATCATTAAAGGGAGAACTCTATTCAAAACATCTTTAAAGGGAGAGCTCTATTCAAAACATCACTAAAGGGAGAACACTATTCACAACATCATTAAAGGGAGAACACTATTCAAAACATCATTAAAGGGAGAACTCTATTCAAAACAACATTAAAGGGAGAACACTATGCAAAACATCACTAAAGAACCGTTAACATAATTTAAAACGATTTTCCATTGAAGATTAAAGCGGTCACGATGAGGAAGATATCGTCCTATTTTATATTTTCCTATAGAAAAACAAGGATGTCTCAATTGGTTTTGTTTATTAAAAGGCATAGTTGGGAATTTCGCTTGAAATTCTTGAAATGGAGCGTAGCTTGAAATTCTTGAAATGGAGGGTAGCTTGAAATTCTTGAAATGGAGGGTAGCTTGAAATTCTTGAAATGGAGGGTAACTTTAAATTCTTGAGAAATGGAGGGTAGCTTGAGATTCTAAAAATGGAGGGTAGCTTGAAATTCTTGAAATGGAGGGTAGCTTGAAATTAGGTTGAATTTTCTTTTATTCTTTCATTTTTTTCGGATGTTTTTTTTGAAAATTTTGTTTCTGATATTTTGTGTCAATTTCCTTATTTTCTTCAAAATGTTAAGAAGCCTGCAATACAATATTTCCGCTGGGAGTAAACTCTCATTTTTTATATTCTTGTTAAAATAAAAACTTTTAAGGCACATTGTCTATCCCGAGAATTTCAAAAAATTAAAACTAATTCTTTCCAAAAATATTAGTTTAAATATAATTTTAAAAAAACTAAAAATATTTTGGTCTCACACCTTCGTGATCTACCCCTATACTAATCTGCGGACACATCTTATTCTTCAGTCTTGTAGCATCCAGGGGACATTCCCAGCTAGACACAGATCTAAACATTCAGATTTATAGGAATTTTTCATTTTTTTTAATTGGTTTACATTATATTTTTAAAGGGAGTGACCGACTATGTAAGGTGTTTGAGCGCAAATTCGACGTTCAAAACTCCTACTTTGGGGTACGTTTTCAGAATTAGTTTTTTTAAATTATAAAATAAAGAAAACGAAAAATAAAGTAAAAATTATACAGTAATATAATTAGATGGTTAGGAACACATTTCACAAAAGAAATTTGTCAATAAATCAATGCTGAAATCGATTATTTCGTTTTCATTATTATATTGAATTTCTTATTTTCTTTGAATTTATTCGCATTTTTTTTTCAAATTCTTCAAATGTCGTCTTTTCAATGATAATTCTAGAAAATCCGCAGAAAATCTTTGTAAATAATGAGAAACCAGAATAATGAGAAAATAGAAACTAATAATAGAACAAGATTACTTATTTTTGATGATAAGATCATTTTTATTTTCTCAACATGTTCCTATACATGACGTCTGTATTTTATTGTAGAACTTTTTTACATTTTATGTCGTCGTTATTTAATAATTTAAAAAAACCAATTCTGAAAACGTATCCACCCCCAAAGTAGGAGTTTTGAACGTCGAATTTGCGCTCAAACTCAGGATTTACAGATCTTTAAAAATGTTTAATGTGTCTCAAATGAATCCGAAAGAAGTTTTCCACAACACTGCATACTCAGTTCAACTACCTTACAAAGCCGGTCACCCCCTTTAAAAAAGGATCTTTGAGGTGTACGATTGATTATGCAAGAATATTGCATAATGGTTTATTAACTGTAAAAATTTTTGTTTACAAATCTTTGTTCGATGTTTAAAAAACATTGTTCTACGTTAAATAAACTTTAATTTTAGCATCTACATTATTCCAAGTTCTTTTAAATTCCCAAACGAGAGATGTTTATGGTTCCAGAAAGATGTTTACTATAACACAAATTTGTAAGTAAATATCTACAATTAAGTGAGAAAACAAAGAGCTTTAAAGATGCTTTTTTTATCTAAATATAGTTTAATCATTTTTTTTCTTCATCAAATTTTTAAATAAGAAGGAAAATAAATGATAAAAATCCTTTTAAAAATAAAAAATAGACACCTCAGAGAGACAAGAAAATATGTCTTATTCAAGACAAGGGCCTGGGGGATATTGAAATAAAAAGAACACGCTATATAATTCGGCGAACAGTGTCTTTAAAATCTAATTTAGCGGATTTTCGACCTTGGGTAGGAATATCTGTAACTGCCTGTTGGAGGTTCAGCATACGGAATACCTGCATAATATCAGGACTTGGTCAAAATAATTGATTTATTTAAGAATAAAAAAAGAAAAAAAGTTCGAAAAATTTATTTACCCACAAAGGATGAAATTTTGATTCTGAAATTTATTCAGTTCTTTGTTTTTTTTTTCTTTACAAAATATTTATGATATACCATTAAAAACCATACTCAACGCAGATCCCTGTATAATTTTATTCTTATCTAAAGAATTCACGATCGACATTAAAGTCAAATCCTTAATGGTACATTTTTTAATGTGAAAACCCCAAATATTTGGCGCACTTTCATAAAATAAAATAGTTTTTGATAATTTTAGATTTAGAAAATAACAGATGCAAGAAATTCTAAGAGTACAGAAAATTGCGCTACACATATTTTTAACCCTATCTCTGCTGAGGTACTTGAAAACCAGGATATGCTGGGGGGGGGTCAATTTGCCCCCCCCCCCCTCTAAATCCCATGTTTGATGTCAAAATATGACAAATGATACATTATTGGAAAGCTCTTTTGCTCTACTTTTAGAATCTGCAAAAAAATTTTCAAATTTGCAAAAATTGAATTTTTATCGCAAAATCCAGTTATATAGTAGAAATGTTTGCAAAAAAAAGTTGTCCAAAAAATGAAAAATTATACATTTTTGAAAAGCCCTTGACCATGCCATTTTAAATATGCAACAATTTTTTCAAAATTTTAAATAACCTGATTTTTAATCAAGAAAAACTAAAAATGTGCTAATTTCCTTTGACAGGTTGTTTGCAAAAAATTTGCAATTTTTTTTCGCAAAACTTGTGCAATTTTTTTTCTTTTTTCAAAGGCTTTCCAAAAAGCTAAATTTTATCAAAATCTGACAAGTGAAAGTGGGTCAAAACAAAGATTTAGTTTGCTACAGGAAAAATCAGTCATTCAGGCAGTAAGCCTGAGAACTCAGGCAGTTAGTATTAAAGCCCGGGTTTAGGCCTAAAGAGAGGGCTTTGGGTATGTAGGAAAAGTCAGAAAATTTCAACAGCCTCAGACCAATAAATTTTGAGTTATGTAAAAAAAACTACAGGGGGGGAGTCAAATTGACCCCCCCCCCAAGCAGGAATAGGGTTAAATTAGAAATAATTTTTTAAACATTTTTTTAATTCAAATCCAAATTTCCTGTGAATGAAAGATATTTGACGTCAGTTTCGAATCTTTCATCCCGAAAAGTTTCCTTCTTTCCGATAACAGGTCCTAGAGCTGTACTGCAGAAAGTCAACAATAACAAAATAAATTAAAAGAATGCAATACGATTAAAGGACTAATGCCTATATGTCCGATTCACAATGATTCCTTTAAAAGCTTTTTCTGATCAAGTGTTAATGAGATATCCATGTTTTCTCTTAGAAAATTGATTTTTACTGCAAGAGTAAAACACGTTACACGTTGTGAATATATATTATACCCCGCTAGAAATGAAGGGTCACCATAGATAAATAAATAAACATAGATAGCATATGTACGCAAAATCACCAAGAATTGTACAGTCCGCGAACTCATACTTCTAGGGGTCAAAGTGTACTTCAGTGATAAGCGGGGTGGTTTTGTGTTTTAATGGATTTCATAAATCATAATAGAGTGTAAAATAACTCCGGGAATGGAATTATTTGAACAACAATATTTCACTATCATCTTGACGAGAACTGAAGACGGTCATGAGAAGGACTAAACTAACTCAAATTTCTCTCTTCAGAACTCATGTACACCACAAGTACTCAATGACATAAGAACAGCCAATGTTCACAACCGACCTAGTTAATCTATATAATAGGAATATCTTTAAAACATCTCTGTACATTTATATCTTTCAAGATGAAAAATGTCGTCTTATGCGCAATCTATCTTTATCTATGAGGGTCACTGTAAAACAGGCGTCGGTGGTTAATAGACTGATAGTCTGAATTGTTAATTGGCTAATTAGTTCATTGGCTAATTTGTTTGTTGGTTAGGTTGGTTCATTGATTAGGCTCCTCAAATCGAATAATCATTGGTTAGATTTACCAACCAGACTATCCGTCTATTAACCACCGACACCTGTCTATTGTTTTACATTTCAAACTATTATTTCGTGTCGGAATGAAAGGAGTGGTTAAGGGTTTTAGGTTTTTAAATTTAAAATAATTGTTAAGACTTTTGTACGAATGGGTGGCCATTTCTTTTTTTAAAGTCCCATTATGCTAAAAACCTAAAAATCATGGGATCTTTCTTCAAAATGCAATATACAGCCCTTTTCTTACTATTTGAACTCTTAGAACTTTAATAAAGGGTTATTAAGTTAGATTGAACTTTATAAAATTAGATTAGATTATACTAGAGTAGATTAGATTAGATCAGAAAGCTTGTCTTCAAGTTTTCCCTGAGGATATCTTTCTCTTTACATAGTTTGTGACAACATTTAAAGTTAGACATCAGATGTCAAACCAATTTTATTTTATCAACAAAACTTTTTTCAAAGAGAATATATTTCTCAAGGGAAGCTTCAAAACAAGAATCCATTGATGATAAGATCATTTTTATTTTCTCAACATGTTCCTATACATGACGTCTGTATTTTATTGTAGAACTTTTTTACATTTTATGTCGTCGTTATTTAATAATTTAAAAAAACCAATTCTGAAAACGTATCCACCCCCAAAGTAGGAGTTTTGAACGTCGAATTTGCGCTCAAACTCAGGATTTACAGATCTTTAAAAATGTTTAATGTGTCTCAAATGAATCCGAAAGAAGTTTTCCACAACACTGCATACTCAGTTCAACTACCTTACAAAGCCGGTCACCCCCTTTAAAAAAGGATCTTTGAGGTGTACGATTGATTATGCAAGAATATTGCATAATGGTTTATTAACTGTAAAAATTTTTGTTTACAAATCTTTGTTCGATGTTTAAAAAACATTGTTCTACGTTAAATAAACTTTAATTTTAGCATCTACATTATTCCAAGTTCTTTTAAATTCCCAAACGAGAGATGTTTATGGTTCCAGAAAGATGTTTACTATAACACAAATTTGTAAGTAAATATCTACAATTAAGTGAGAAAACAAAGAGCTTTAAAGATGCTTTTTTTATCTAAATATAGTTTAATCATTTTTTTTCTTCATCAAATTTTTAAATAAGAAGGAAAATAAATGATAAAAATCCTTTTAAAAATAAAAAATAGACACCTCAGAGAGACAAGAAAATATGTCTTATTCAAGACAAGGGCCTGGGGGATATTGAAATAAAAAGAACACGCTATATAATTCGGCGAACAGTGTCTTTAAAATCTAATTTAGCGGATTTTCGACCTTGGGTAGGAATATCTGTAACTGCCTGTTGGAGGTTCAGCATACGGAATACCTGCATAATATCAGGACTTGGTCAAAATAATTGATTTATTTAAGAATAAAAAAAGAAAAAAAGTTCGAAAAATTTATTTACCCACAAAGGATGAAATTTTGATTCTGAAATTTATTCAGTTCTTTGTTTTTTTTTTCTTTACAAAATATTTATGATATACCATTAAAAACCATACTCAACGCAGATCCCTGTATAATTTTATTCTTATCTAAAGAATTCACGATCGACATTAAAGTCAAATCCTTAATGGTACATTTTTTAATGTGAAAACCCCAAATATTTGGCGCACTTTCATAAAATAAAATAGTTTTTGATAATTTTAGATTTAGAAAATAACAGATGCAAGAAATTCTAAGAGTACAGAAAATTGCGCTACACATATTTTTAACCCTATCTCTGCTGAGGTACTTGAAAACCAGGATATGCTGGGGGGGGGTCAATTTGCCCCCCCCCCCCTCTAAATCCCATGTTTGATGTCAAAATATGACAAATGATACATTATTGGAATAAACCCGGTATCCCAATTGGGTGGTTTTTGTCTAATAAAGATGGAAAGGGGGGGGGGGCAGAGGGGATTAATGAATTAATTCCAAACCCTCTCCCTTATGATTTTGCCACTAGAGTTGAGATACGGTGTACCATCAGAGAGATATGTAGTTGTGTGGCACTAAAATTATTGATATAATTACTAATTAGCCCTATACCAATTTTTTTTGAGGGGGGGGGTCTATGGTTTTACCCTTAGAGTCAAGATAGAGGAGTGTGATGTACATAGTCCAACTTTCCCTCCCCCGCCGCCCTCCCCCATCGTAATAGGGTTAAAAATGTAAAAATGCAATGGAAACGAAATTCGTGTTCACATTCTTTAATATTTTTATTTTTATTTTTCTTTCCCTGATTAGAAAATCTGTCTCTTCTAGATCAAGTTTACAAGAATCCTCGTCAGAATATTTCCTTCTTTCATCGTCTAAAAAACAAAAAAAAATATCGTAAACATAAATTCAAATTCTGTGTAAAATTCACAACTTATAAATTTACAAAAAGTATTGGTATTTGTGTAACATCATAATTAATAATGTAGACTAGTTTTAAAAAATTGATTTACTAAATGCTCAGTTAAAGTGAAGATGACCGAAAGCAACCCATATTAAATAGTAATGAGTATTACTATTTTCAATGTATTTTTGATCCTTTTTAATAGTTTAAATTAAACAATCATATTTAGAGTGTGATTAATCAGGGCAAAGTACAGTACAATTTCACCTATCACTAGAGAAATGTGTACAGTACAATTTAATCTATCACTTGAGTATTGTGTACGGTACAATTTCATCTATCACTAGAAAATATGTACAGTACAATTTCATCTATCACTAGAGAAGTGTGTACGGTACAATTTCATTTATCACTAGAGAATGTGTATAGTACAATGTCATCTATTACTAGAGATATATGTACAGTACAATTTAATCTATCACTTGAGTATTGTGTACGGTACAATTTAATCTATCACTTGAGTATTGTGTACGGTACAATTTCATCTATCACTAGAATTATGTACAGTACAATTTCATCTATCACTAGAGAAGTGAGTACGGTTACAATTTCATCTATCACTAGAGATATGTGTACGGTACAATTTCATCTATCACTAGAAAATATGTACAGTACAATTTCATCTATCACTAGAGAAGTGTGTACGGTACAATTTCATTTATCACTAGAAAATATGTACAGTACAATGTCATCTATTACTAGAGATATATGTACAGTACAATTTCATCTATTACTAGAGAATGAGTACGGTATAATTTCATCTATCACTAGAGAATATGTACAGTACAATTTCATCTATCACTAGAGAATATGTACAGTACAATTTCATCTATCACTAGAGAATATGCACAGTACAATTTCATCTATTACTAGAGATATATGTACTGTACAATTTCATCTATCAGTAGAGAAATGTGTACGGTACAATTTTATCCATCCCTAGAGAAGTGTGTACGGTACAATTTAATCTATCACTAGAGCAATGTGTACGGAACAACTTCATCTGTCACTAGAGAATAAGTACGGTACAATTTCATCTATCACTAGAGAAGTGTGTACGGTCCAATTCAATCTATCACTAAAGAAGTGTGTACGGTACAATTTCATCTATCTCTAAAGAAGTGTGTACGGTCCAATTTCATCTATCACTAAAGAAGTGTGTACGCTCCAATTTAATCTACCACTAAAGGAGTGTGTACTGTACAAGTTCATCTATCTCTAAAGAAGTGTGTACTGTACAATTTCATCTATCTCTAAAGAAGTGTGTACTGTACAATTTCATCTATCACTAAAGAAGTGTGTACAGTACAATTTCATCTATCTCTAAAGAAGTGTGTACTGTACAATTTCATCTATCACTAAAGGAGTGTGTACTGTACAATATAATCTACCACTAAAGAAGTGTGTACTGTACAATTTCATCTATCTCTAAAGGAGTGTGTACGGTATTATGTAGAGAAGTGTTTACGCGGTATAGTTTCAAATGAATCAGTGTTTATCCCATTCAAAACTATACAAACGATGGTATGGGTTTGAGAGGTGTAAATTGTGTATTGTGTTGCTGAAGAAAATATTTTTCAAAACATTTGAAAATATTTTTGTGTTTCATTCACTTGTCTGGTTTCTTATAGAATAGGAGAATTATTTTTTTCTCCGATTCTCCAACATTCAATAGAACGTAGTTTTTAGAATTGCACTTTGAAAGGAGTGCAATCAAACCTGCGTTCTACTTTTTCTTACATTCTTTTTATAGACGACCCAACTTAAAGGGACTGTCCGCGGAATTTAAATCTTCATCTGAAAGAGTAGAATTTTTCTAATTAATAAAGAGGAACTTAGGATCAGACATATTTGTTTTCTGTCTGTCAATTTCAAAAACTGCAAAGAAAAATCATCAATACTAAAAAAGAAAATCAATAATATTTGCGCCGTAAGACATTTTCTTTAAAAAATTCCCAAAGCAAATTGTTTCCTCAACGTTGACAAAAACTAATTCTGAAGTCGTGTCGTGAAATGCACTTTGAGATTGGTCTGTCAAAAACTTAGTTAAACTTAAACTGACCAATCCCCCTTTATACCCCAGCTTCACATTTCCACCTACTGCATTCCCCCCTTTTCTATAATAATTCTATAAACCTCTCACACCCCCCAAAAAAATTTACCACTTTGTCTATTCCCACTTTGCTCTCTCCCAAATCTAGTGCTTTTCACATTCTTTACTTCAGCCTTTCCAATTTTATCTTCTGCCATCTGTCTTCTTAAATGTCTTGTGTTTGAAAAAATGAACTACTGTGTTCAAATTATAATTGTTTGAATAAGCTTTCAATATTCTCTGTTCTAAAATAAAGGGTTAGAAAAAACAGATCAAATCAAATTCTCAAGGCAGGATGTAAATAAAAAGTCTCTGAAATTCAAAAATTAAGGCCTATTCTGTATATTCTTTAAATGTTCACAAGCAATTCCTTTTAAAATAATTTGATGATTTCATTTATTTATTCTCACTTTAGATTTAAAATTTAGAAAAATATTATATAAAATCTTAAATTGTTAAAGTTTTAAGTTACCTGGTAATAAGCAGTATGCTGATATACATCCAACCTCATTTACATCCTCATTGGAGCAGTCAGGAGTAGAGAACAGTCCCTTTAATACAATCAATTTATATCCTCATTGGAGCAGTCAGGAGTAGAGAACAAACCCTTTAATACAATTAATTTATATCCTCATTGGAGCAGTCAGGAGTTGAGAACAAACTCTTTAATACAATTAATTTATAACCTCAATGGAGCAGTCAGGAGTAGAAAACAAACCCTTAAATACAATCAATTTATATACTCATTGGAGCAGTCAGGAGTAGAGAACAAACCCTTTAATACAATCAATTTATATACTCATTGGAGCAGTCAGGAGTAGAGAACAAACTCTTTAATACAATCATTTTATATACTCATTGGAGAAGTCAGGAGTAGAGAACAAACCCTTTAATACAATCAATTTATATCCTCATTGGAGCAGTCGGAGTAGAGAACAAACACGTTAATACAATCAACTTATATCCTCATTGGAGCAGTCAGGAGTAGAGAAAAAACTCTTTAATACAATAAATCTATATCCTTAGTGGAGCAGTCAGGAGTAGAGAACAAACCCTTTAATGCAATCAATTTATATCCTCATTGCAGCAGTCAGGAGTAGAGAACAGTCCCTTTAATACAATCAATTTATATACTCATTGGAGCAGTCAGGAGTAGAGAACAAACCCTTTAATACAATCAATTTATATACTTCTTGGAGCTGTCAGATTTAGAGAATAGTTCCTTTAAAATAAACAAATTACACCCTAAATATAATAGTCGGAGTAGAGAATATGTTCCTTTCAAATAAACAAATTATACCCTAAATATAATAGTTGGAGTAAGAATATGTTCCTTTCAAATAAACAAATTATACCCTAAATATAATAGTCAGGAGTAGAGAGGAGTTAGCATGTATTGAACATTAATCTCAATAAATTAATTTTTAAAGATTTGTTTAACTCTCAACAATTTTTGTTGAATGCAAACTGGAGACGTTATTTTATTTATTCTCCAGTTAAAAATTGCGGTTTTTTCTGTTAAAGAGATTTGTGCATTTAAGTTTCAGTGATAATGAATTGGAACATAACGGAATTTAATACTTTTTTAAAAGGAATAAACCGATATATTTTTCATTGCTATTTGGTCGAGTTTTAAAGGGTACCGTTGTAAATTACAGTTTTAAATGGTTGGTCACTTACAAATTAAGTATAAAGTTCATTTAAATGTAATTTATTTTAGACTTAAATTATTTATATATTTTGTCACAAACTCAAATTGTCTAATCCCTATATCTTTACAATCTGATTATGTAAACCTTTGATATTGCAAACTTAGATTATTTGGTCTAACAGAATTCATAGTTTGAAATATCAAAGGTCTACGACTTTGGGTTGCAAAGATATAGAGATTAGAAAAGTAGAGTTTGTGACAAAAACTCAATTCCTTTATTATTATTTACCTGAAGTAAGCGAAGCTTAACAAATGCAATATCACTAAAAAATAATAAAATACAAAATTACGATGACAAGAGACTTTTTATAATTGAAACACTGCATCTTGGATTAAAATGGAGTAAATTAGAGAATTTCAAAATTTTGATATCTAAATTTCCCAGGGGAGTTTCATCAAAAATCTAATTTAAAGTGCATCCTTTTCTCATGTTTGATAGAATAATAATTCTTGAAAAATTAATGTTAGCAGAAGAAGTCTTTATTATGCATTTTTTTAAAAGCTTTGCGTAGATAATTTCTCGTTGGCAGTTTTAAAATGTTTGTCAATTTCTGTAATTTAGAGATTTAAATAATTTAAATAAACTAATTTGTAACAGATGAACCATAATTTCTTTCCTTAATTTCGTATTTGTTGTACTGTTTTAAATCAGCGGGGGGGGGGGGGCATTACTTATTGTGTTATTTAGAAGTATTTAAATCTTTAAATTACAGAAATTATGAAAACCCTAATTAATCCTAACCTTATCATCCTAGACCCTGATACGAGAATGTTTGCTCCGAACCCAAGAAAAGTACTGTCCTCTTGTGAACTCCGGAGTTCTCCAATACGTCCTTGCCCATATTCCTGCTTAAGGTTCGAGATCAACGAAACATTTTTTTTATAATAATATTAAGCATCTCTAGCTGTGGATTTCTACAATTATAACAAGAGGGATAAAACAGTACTGCTTTCTAGCGGAGCCAATATCGTTAAACTCGTCATAAAAGAAATCCACCATCAAGATGTAAGTAATCCACAAGTCAGTAATTCCGGGACTTTAAACATGGAAAACTTCACTTAATTTTAAAGTTATTTTTGATCCCTGAATTTCATCTTGAACTTGAACTGAACAGTTTTCACTCTCACAAACCCTGAAATAAGAAAAAATATCAATATATTAAAAATATCAGAGTGCACATGGATATTCGGTTATATTGGTTACGTCCTGGAAACTGGAAACTGCAGAATGAAATGAATATTTTAAAAAATGTATAGATTTTTCCTTCTTTCGCGTTAAAATCAAGTTCGGTACAAAATAGCGTTTTTGGACACCCTGTATGAATTTTAGAATGGTTTAATGTTTCCAAACATTTAGCAAATCATTCTGGTTTGATTTGAAATTTCGGTTTACTTTTTATATCAATGTTTTTTTTTCAATGCAATCTCATTTCCTCGACTATTATTCAGGGTTACGCATAAAGTTACGCATTCTTTCGTATGGAATTTCCAAAATAGCTAATTTAGCATGCGTCAGAGTACGCAAATATTTAGAATGTACGCATTACGCAATGTTAACGCATATCGGACAAATTGCATAGCATTATCATGATCAATTGTAACAAAGATGATTCGGCTACATTTCCATTTTGTCAATGATCTCAAATATAAGAGGGAAGGGGGAATGCTTACAGCAGGAATATTGTTAAAAATAAAAGTAATAAAATAACTAACCTTTGATCGTCTCCTTGTCTGATAGGACAGATAAGTGCACATACTAGTCCTCTGTATTCACCATCAATTTAATTAGAAAAACTTCTTCTTTTTAAAATAATTTTATGTTTAAAGAGACAGTAATATCCTTAATTACGATCGGTTATTTAATCTGGAGAAGAGAACAAGCATTATTTAATCTGGAGCAAGGGTGTAAGGCAAGGAAAGTTAATTGCGGTCGTGTATACTCTGCGTACAAATTGAAACCAGTTCTCTTTGGGCGGAATTTGTAAACAAGAATAGATGCGTCAGTGTTCGTTTAGTATCCGAGGAGGTTAGAAGCATTAAATTTTGATAATTTTGATAATTCACATAATAGTTTCCTATGACAAGAATATCTCATTGATTTTTTTATGTGAAAGATGGATCCCATGTCAGGCTGTGACATCCGTCTTGTGTTTACATTACCGCCCAGAGACAGTACACTGCAGTACAAAAGATGTGTACACTTCTGAAATAACTTTTCTTGCATTACATCCTTGATCTGGAGATTAAGAACAATTGGAGATCAAGCATTGATCTCAATATTCACCATTCTAAATTCAGTTCTTTTAAATTTGATTTACTTTTATACAAAAGTCGATCTTATCTAATATAAAGGTGAGTAAGATGTCTATTTCGTCAACAACTCAATATTTTATGAATAATATTATGAGGATTTTATATAAACACCCCCCTCCCCCGGCCCCGGGAGGAATAGGTTCCCCTTCTTATACCATTTTATTCTAAGGACCACTCTATATATTTTAAGACTAAACTGGTTTTATATTTATGTTTGCAGCTAGATACTTGATTACTGGTTGTATTGTTGGTCAGCTGCAGTAAAATGGTTAAATTTCCGTTTCTTTCTTTTAATCAAGTTTAACTGTTTTAGTTTAAAACCGTAACCATGGGAATATGTATGCAATAATCTTAGCAAACGAGCGATGTTTAGTCAAAATAAATACGTACAGGGTGAGTCACACTCACATCGGACTAATTGTTTTCCTAGACAGGGTGAGTCACACTCACATCGGACTAAGTATTTTCCAAAACTAGCTTTGGAACCCAGCTTTGCATGGAGTTTTCACTACAATAGAATAAGTCAACCCTCTCAACCTAGAATTTAAAAACCAGGCTAGAAACACAATTCTGCGTTTATTCTGATTTCCCCGTCAACATTTGTGGTAAATCGACCCAGAGGACTATAAGGTACGGGGTGTTCCAAAAAACATGGGAATTTAGTGACTAATTAGATATCGTCTTTTTAAATAATTTTTTGATTTAGTATAGTGATACCTACTGAGAAAGCTGTAATCTGTAAGAGTTTCGTCTGCTATGTTTACATTTTGTTTGTTTATGTTTTGACTGCAAACGGTTGTACTTAGTTAAACAAGAAAATTACAGTATACAAACAGTGTAAACTTGTCCGTTTTCACTGTTCATCTTGCGGAGACATCATAGACACATCTTTACAGCCATTTACCCTTTTCAGAAAATAAACTTTAGCAGACATAATAATATTACGGCTTTTGAAATTAGGTATTGCAATGCTAATACATAACAAAGACGATATCGAATTCGTCACTGAATTCCCATGTTTTTTGGGACACCCTGTATGATCCGACATCTAAATATACAGACAGGCATCAGAGATTTCTACTTGATGTATATATAAATGTGTTTACTGGGAAGGGAAATACACAAACGGGAAAAATACATTTAAAAATAAAATTTTTTAAAATATTTAATTGATGGTGACCTTTGAGCATTTCTTGCAAACCCTGAATCTTGATGAATCAAATCTCCACTGAAAAACATACAGGTGTGATCAATAAGTTTCGCCTAAAAAAAGTAGGGCTGAGACTTTTTGCGAAACTTATTGATCACACCTCGTATGATATAATTATGATATTTAATACATCTTTATGTTATATAATATCAATATCATGTAGTATACACAATACACAGTAAAGGGTTGGACCACTTGGCCACTTTTTTGATAAAAATGTATAAATATATCTGTACCTGTGTCTAGCTACCAACCCAGCAGAGTTAAGAACAGCTCCACCATGCTCTACAGCTACACCTACATGTGACAGCATCTCCCCGCTAGCCCGCACCAGATGACCTACAGGAATTAAAGTATAAAAAATTGTTTACAAAAAACTTTTCTTTTAATTCTTTTATTATTGCTATCTGACGTTGTAAAGACATTTAAATCTGTGAAAAGTTAAAATGTCAATTTTTAGTTTTAGAAAGTTCGTTGTATTTGCAAAAGAAAAAGAAAATTTCTTTAAAACATTAAGTCTGTATAAAAACAATATTTTCTATCGAACTAAATTATCAAAATCGAATCTAAACAGTTAAAGTCGAAGAGAGTTTTGCCAAGTACTTCTTAAAACTAAAGTTGAAAAAGTGCTTTTTAGTTCTAAAGTGAACGTGTCTAAGTAAAATAGAAAGTGGGTTAGTAAGGTAAAATATTAGGTCAAGACGTTGCGACACTTCAAATTTAACTCTGTCTTAACAATACAACTTTTTATGGTTGTCTGGATCTCTGTAAGCTTTATTTTTTATCACTTGATTAATTTAAAAAAATGAAAATTCAAACAAAATTGATTTTATGTGTTCTTAAACATTCAACTGAAAAGAGATTTTTCTGTGAATTTAAAAATTCTGAGAAATTTTCCTCGAGGAAATCAGTGTAATGGAAAAGTTTGAAGAAATTTATTGAAAAATTATCATAAATTTAAAATGATTCTTTCAACTGTAAAACTTTCTATCTTCTTCTTTATATTCTCTATTTCATTAATGTAAAATCAATTTTGGTTGTTCTAAATCATTCAAATTTAAATCTAATTTTTTAACGAATAAAAGTTTTTGAACGAAAATCGTTTTTTTGGAAATGAGTTTTCGCCACAAACTAGAATTGTCTAATCCCTATATCTGATGGCGTAAACCTTTAATATAAATAAATATTTAATATAACAGAATTTAGAGTTTGAAATATCTAAAGCTTACGACATATTGGTTTTTAAAGGTATTGGGATTAGAAAATCAGAGTTTGTGGCAAAAACTCAATTTCTTTAGGACAAAAAGAATATTAATGCTTCTGAAAGAATTGATAAATCTTTAGAACTTTGCAACTCGATGTGTGATATTTTAGACAATTAATTCTGCTAGTTCTAATAGAGATTTAAAATATCAAAGCATATCCCTCATGTTGCAAAGATATTATTGAGTTGAGTTGAAAAGGCAAGAGGTGTGGGGGCGGGGGCTTGGAATCACCCCCCCCTCCCCCTTCTTACTGGGTTAGGGTTAACCTGAGTTATAAATGAAGTTTCCCGCATGTTTCGCTACTTGTCCAGCTATTCCCAGCAAACTTCCACTTAGGGAGACAAAAGTTCCCAACAATCTGAAACAATCTGAAATCAGGCTTTTTGTCGAAAAAGGAGAATTTATCGGTACGCAGAGAGTAGACACTGTATCTCTACCCGATATAGAATTAAGGTTCTTGGAATAATCTGTGCTGAAAAATGAGTTTACATTCTGATTTACATCTGATTTGTCGATCTGTTAATTACAAAGTGAAAACCCAAAACTGTGACATCAATGTCGTCTTTGTACTTTCTTTTACTGTAAAAATGTCACAAAGAATTATTAATTTTTTGTTGTTGCAACAGATATAGCTCTCAAATCTGGGCATTTTTTTAAAAATTGTTCAGTTGCAAATTACAAAATTCTTAAGAGACGTTTCATAATTAAGAGAAAAAATATGATGCAAATGCGTTTATCAACTGGTTCTCGACGTATTTCAACTGTCTTTAGAACTTTAACTACTTTCAACAAATATCATCCTCCCCCTTCCCAAAAAAACGAATTAATTTAATAGATACCTATTTTTGGTTACAGCTGGTTTAGGGGTAGGCGGCAGATATGATGGCCGTAAAGCTGGAGGTTGATATATTGGTCGTAAAACTGGTGGTTGATATGGTTGATGTGAAGATCTCCAGGTAGGTTGATTGTATGGTGGAACTACAAGGGTATCTGGTATATATAAGGTTTTTGGTTGAGCATACGTCTCCCTATGATTAGGTTTTGAATAAACACCATTGGAAGTAGAACGAGTATAGGTCACTTCATTAATAGGCTGATAAACAGATGGAGAAAGTTTAGGGAAATAGGAACCAAGAGTAGGACGAGAATAGGATGCTCCAGGATTAGTTTGAGGATAAGAAACTCCAGGAGTAGGTTGAGAATGGGATGGAGCTGGGATTGATGAAGAATAAGACGAAGCACGAGTAGGACGAGAGATTGATGGAACAGGAGTTGGTTGGGAGACTGTTGAAGGGGAACTAGGTTTTGAGTAGGATGGAGCTGAAGTATGTTTCGAGTAGGATGAAATTGAAGGTAATGGAGTCAGATTTACAGAGGAAACATTATACGTACTTATAAAGTTGGACAAAGTAGAGGTAGTTGGTTTGGAATTGAATGTAGCAGAAGGTGTTTTAGAATTCAAGGATTCAGGGCTAGGTTCAGAATTAGAAACAACTGAAATCGATGATTGAGAATCGGAGGTTTCAGGAGAAGGCTGAGAACTTGAAGTTTCAGGTTTAGGTTGAGTATCGGTGTTTTTAGGGTAAGATTGATAACTGGAGGTTTCATTGGTATGTTGGGTATTGAAAGGTTCAATGGTAGGTTGGGTATTGAAAGGTTCAGTGATAGGTTGGGTATTGGAGGGTTCAGGATAGGGTTGGGAACCGAAGGTTTGAAGGATAGGTTGATTATTGGAAGTTAAAGGGTTAGGTAGGGTATTAGAGGTTAGAGGGGTCGGTTGAAAACTGGAGGTTTTATTACTAGGTTGAGCACTGGTGAGTTTAGGGTTAGATTGGAAACTGGAGGTTTCTGGGTTAGGTTGGGAACTGGAGGGTTCAGGGTTAGGTTGGGAGCTGGAGGTTTCAGGGTTAGGTGGAGAACTGGAGGTTTCAGGACTAGGTTGGAAACTGGAGGTTTCAGGGTTAGGTTGGAAACTGGAGGTTTCAGGACTAGGTTGAGTGTTGGTGGGTTCAGGCCTAGGTTGGAAACTGGAGGTTTCAGGGTTAGGTTGGGAACTGGAGGGTTCAGGGTTAGGTTGGGAGCTGGAGGTTTCAGGGTTAGGTTGGAAACTGGAGGTTTTAGGGTTAGGTTGATAACTGGAGGTTTCAGGACTAGGTTGGAAACTGGATGTTTCAGGGTTAGCTTGAGAACTGGAGATTTCAGAAATGAATTCTGAACCTAAAGGACCAGGAATAGGTTGGTAAGTAGAAGTAGGTTGAATAAAGGAAGAGGTGTGTGGACTAGAAATCTCTGATATCTGTGCTTCTAGATATAACGTGTCAGAATTAAAAAAAAAATACATTTTAATAAGTTTTCCGAGAAAAAAGTTAATTTTTATTAAATGTCACTAATTAACCGTTTAAACAAATAAAGAATTTTGTTTCAATTATTTTCTAAAACCTAACCCTTTATGAATAGAGTGGCATGTCTGATTAATAACGATCACCCTTTAAACCTTTGTCTGATAAAAGAGGATAGAGATATCTATCCAATCTACTACTGGAGTCAGATGATAGAGATATCTATCCAATCTACTTCTGGAGTCAGATGATAGAGATATCTATCCAATCCACTACTGGAGTCAGATGATAGAGATATCTATCCAATCTACTACTGGAGTCAGATGATAGAGATATCTATCCAATCCACTACTGGAGTCAGATGATAGAGATATCTATCCAATCTACTACTGGAGTCAGATGATAGAGATATCTATCCAATCTACTACTGGAGTCTAATGTCATCCCTACCCCCTGTCATTTGATTTGTGCTTCAAGTTTAAAATCAATGATTATCAAAATTCATCTGATAGGTTTAGTTGTCCAGATGGGGGATTTAAATGTTGCTGTTGTGAATCGGACATGCCCCTTATTAAATAAAAATCAACTTTAAATTACAAAACTCTACATTCCTTTTAAACTGTATTTTTGTTCAAAATAGTGAATTTTAAAAATATCACAACATTACCTTTCAATGATAATTTCAAGATGGCGTCTTCAAATCCCTGTGGGTAAGCGTAGTTAGTGTATATAAGGGACAGAACTACGATCAACTGAAAACAAAAATATCACTACATATTAAGCAGATATCTTATGGAGTTGTCGTCTTATATATCAATATAATAAAGACGAACTTTTAAATTTGATTTCTACCAAGCTTGTAAACAGCACACACACTTAAACATCTAAACAAAGAGAGTTTTACTTGTAAACTTTGATTTGAATTTGAAAATGCTTGCTTGAGATCACAGTATTATTAAAAGTCTTCTTCATTGTATTGATATAATCACCAACCAATAAGCAATAAATAATTACATATTTTGTTTTCTCATTTTGACTTTTTAAAAGCAGAAGAACGATAATTAAGATTAAACTTTAAAAAAATCACAAAAAACAATTTAAGATTGCATGGCTCAGTTCCTAATTTTAAGAGGTTGAGATGGAGTTCTTAGGGGTAGCTGAAAGTTTTAAAATAAATTTAAAGTCTTAAGAAAATGAAGAGTTTTAAATTAATTAAAACTTTTTTGTTTTATAAATTTGC